GGTACAGTCCAGTTTACCCTAGTCTCACTTGCTAAGAGAAAATGACCATATTCAGAGCACAGAAAACTGGTACTGTGATATACTTTCACACATGTACATTTTCCTATGGAAAACCTTTTGGACACAAATAGTATAATGACAAATTAGTGGTATGGGGCAGCATTAAACAGGATATTTACTTCCCCTATCGCCAGTTACCACATTAATTTTATCAATGTTCCAATAATCTGTTTTTCTAAATCATAATTATAAATCCAAAGAGGTCTGTATTATGCTTACTGCTAGCACTTAACACATGCCTAAAATATAGCTGGCATATATATTCACTGAATGAATATTTACAAATACTTGCTGGCAGATTCATAGAGTTGGAAATATTTGCTCAAAAATTTCTTTCGCAAAAGAAATTATTTTGCTTTTTTTTTTTTTTTTTGAGACGGAGTCCTGCTCTGTGACACAGGCTGGAGTGCAGTGGCGTGATCTTGGCTCACCGATTTTGCATTCTTTATATTTACACACAAAGCTATTGCTACTGCTAGGCCATCTAATTCTACCACCACCTCTCCATATTATGCTCATTCATTTAGAGGTTATCTTCAGTCATACTGATGTTACCATTCTGTGGCTGCAGATGAGGCACTGCTTTATCTTTTCATAGTTTTAAAATTTTCTCCTCCTCTTTCAGAAGTGTAGACTGCTCTGGTCTTTATGATGACTGGATTCATCTCATGATGGTGTCAGTGAATCTTTGTCTTCAAAGAATACGGGAAACTAGCCTCAAACCATCTCTAGCCCAGTAATCTGGAAGTCACTGATCTGCAAATCTTCAGACCAGTAACCTCACCATAATTTCATGAACAAAGGGAAAAAAGGGAGAACCACAAGTATCCATTTTTTCCTTAAGGAAATAAGACTCCTGAGCTATATAAAAACTGGTTCTCCTTACCAACTTGACTATTTCTCCCTGAAACATAAAACTCTCTACGAACCGAGAGCTATACTATTTTATCTTTTTTTTTTTTTCTTTTCTGCCTCTGCCTCCTGAGTAGCTGGGATCACAGGCATGCGCCACCACGCCTGGCTAATTTTGTATTATTAGTAGAGACGGGGTTTCTCCATGTTGGTCAGGCTGGTCTCAAACTCCTGACCTCAGGTGATCTGCCTGCCTCAGGCTCTCAAAGTGCTGTGGTTACAGGTGTGAGCCACTGCGCCCGGCCCACAGTAAGATTTTTAGTTCCTCTTCTCCCATGCAGCACCTGCAACAATACTGGGCACATGGTCTTTAATAAACAACACTACACTGATTTAGTGACCTTTTCTTCTCCATTGTGGCTCCATCACCAATTACTAACTGATGGAACTAAAAGCAATAGAAATACCACTGCTTTGCACATCTAAACTTTGGTGTGTAACTTAACGTCACGAATGCTGGCCTTTCTTATTTGGCCCTCTTTTCCTGTATGTTGCAACTAATAAAATGGGTTTCTAATGAGAATTAACTAAAAGCCAAAGTTTCCAATAAGGTAGTGAGCATTACTGGAGAAAGAGAGAAGGCCCTAAAAGTGCTTAATTAACAGACTAGTGAGCATTGTTGCCTGCCTGATGAGCTGCTGAAAGTGGTATAAGAATGGGAATTTACATCCACCAATGGTTCCCAAACTTTAGTGCATTATTATTACTTACAGTGCTCAAGACACATTTCTGAATACCACCTCTAAAGATTCTGGGAAAGTTGGCCTGGGAATTTGCATTTCAGACAAATGCCACACATAGCTGTGACTTAGGTCATCCATGCACTACACTTTGAATTGAAAAACACTAATTTTTATATATGAACCTTAGGTCAAAATCTGTTTCATTCCACAAGTGATGAAATGGTTCAGAAAACATATCTTGAAAACTGAAATAGCTGGCCACACTATCAGTGAGGCATCCTAGGGATTTTGATGAACATTCTCCAACCAAGTTTACTTAATGACAGCAAAAACCTAGTCCTTTTAATAATATTGAGTGCTTTCATTCAGAAATAGAGATTTAAACAAAAAAGTCAGTGCTTTAAAAATATATGAATATTTTATAAGGTTGTTAATCAGAAAGAAAGGAAGACTTCTACTGGTCAATGAGAACCACCGGAGTTCTAGCTGTCAGAAAAACTTTGTCCTTCTGTTTATAGGACTGTGGCATCTATAACGAGTAAGAAGGGCTTATAACAGTGATTCTCAACCAGGGGTGATTTTGTCCCCATGGACATTTGGCACTATCTGGAAACATTTTTGTCATAACTGCAAGGTGGTGGGGTGGGGAGTGCTACTGGGATACTGCTAAACATCCTATGAAACACAGGAAAGCTCACCCCACCCCACAAATAATTATTCTGCTCAAAATGTCAACAATGCCAAGATTGAAAAGCCCTGGCTTAAACGATATACTCTAGGACAATGAATGCAGCCAGGCATGGTGGCTCACACCTATAATCTCCAGCACTTTGGGAGGTTGAGGCAGGCAAAACACTTGAGGTCAGGAGTTTGAGACCAGCCTGGCCAACATGGAGAAACCCCATCTCTACTAAAAATACAAAACTTAGCCAGGCATGTTGGTGCATGCCTATATTCCCAGCTACCCAGGAGGCTGAGGTGTAAGAACTGCTTGAATCCGGGAGGTGGAGGTTGCAGTGAGCCGAGATCACGCCACTGCATTCCAGCCTGGACAACAGAGTGTGACAGAGTATAAATAATAATAAGTAAATAAAATAATAAATTAAAAAAATAAAAAATAAAATAGTACAACGAATGCTCTGTGGTCATCAGAGGGCATCACATATCAGAAGAAAAAGAAAAGGCAGCTCAACATATAAACATTTTTATAACAAAGGCTGTTTTCTAAATGTGCCACAGCCCTCACCATGGTAGGAAAACTTGATAGTATTCCATAAGTCATCTCTATAAGATAAAGCCTGTCACACCAAAATATTTATCTGAAGCAGTGGCTTCACCCCTCATCTTAGAATAAGCTAAGGAGATTTTAAAAGAACAAACTGATATGTCCATTTGAACCCAATGTCACAGGCTTAACTGTCTCTCCCAAAATTCCCATGTTAAAGCCTTAACCCCCAATGTGACTGTGTCTATAGATAGGGCCTGTAGGAAGATAATTAAGGCTAAATGAGTTGATAATAGTGGGTCTAATACAATAAGGCTCGTGGCCTCATAAAAAGAGAAAGAGACACCAGAGACTGATCTCTCTCCAAGCAAGAACAGAGAAAAGGTCAGGTGAGGACACAGAAAGAAGGCAGCTGTCTGCAAGCTGAAGCAAAAAAGTGAATTTTCTGACACCCTGATCTTGGAATTCTTGTCTCTCAAACTGTGAGAAAACACATTTCTGTTGTTTAAGGCACCCAGTATGTGGTATTTTGTTATGGCAGCCCAAGTAGACTAATATACACCCAAAGATTTTCTTTCAAATGGCCTAGGGTATGGTATGACCCAGCACTGATTAATTTTCAGCCAAATCCCAAGTGATTCCAACAGTTAGTCAGAAACCACCAGTCTAATACCACAGAATAATTACAAACATGCTTGAAGGAGTATGCTGTTCAGAAAAACTCTAAGGTTTAGCCCAAGATGAAAACTAGGATACTTTTTGCCATAATTATTTCCTCTCTCTATCTTTTAGGATCTGGAGGTAACATGGCATCACCTTCAAATTCTTTTGGCATTTCATCAGTTTCTGAGTTTTGTGTTAGAAGATATAGTGTAATTTAAAAGGTACACTGATGAAGCTAATGTAATCAATTATTTTTTTCTATACTATGGAAGATGGAGCTCTTGGAAAAAAAATGATTCCTAGTTCATTATCATTTTCTCTTAACAGTCAAAAGTATAAGTCTGTGAGACTTTTCAGGAGAACTAGATTTGTATGTATAAAACAGAGCTCACCAGACCACTCCATTATAACAAGACCTTAAAAAGCTATGGAGTAGCCAAGTGTGGTGGCTCATGTCTATGATCCCTGCTAACTTGAGAGGTCAAGGTGGGAAGATTACTTGAGTCCAGGAGTTTGAGACCAGCCTGGGCAACAAGTGAGACCCTAGCTATAAAAGAAAAGAGAGACAGAGAAATGGCATTTAAAAAAAAAAAAAACATTCTTTTGAAAAAAGTATATGCATTTCCACATAAATTTCAAATGAAAATTAAATTAAAAACTGTGTCATACCTGGTAAAGTCTGGTGGAACAGGAGTGGTAACAAAAGATGCCATGGGCTTCCGATGAACTTGCTGAAACATCATGAGGATCTCTGAGCTCTTAGATATCAACTCACTCTTACTACAAGACCGCAACTGTGTGAAGAAAAAAATTATCTGAACAAACAAAATCACTATTCACTGCCACCTCAAAATTCTTAATTACAAATTATTCTGATTATAAACTGAAAACACTGAGAAAAATAACTCAAAGTGAGCTTGAGAATTAAGAATCTACAAAGAATCTAGGTTTATTTCTACAATATTCTAACAGTAAAGTCACTGAATAAGTATACTTAATATTAATGCATTTTCTCTCCTTACATTTTAGTAAAGTCACTGAATATACTTAATATTAATGCATTTTTCTCTCCTTACATTCTAGGATAAGTGAGGTTTTAAGCAAGTACAAATGTATTTTCAGGCTGGTACAGTTAAGTTCTTATGAATATATTAATGAACAAACCTGTAAGTTGAAAGCTTTTAAAAGCAATCATTTCTCAG